AGGCACAAGGCTGGAAATGGTGTTTTATTCATCTTTATATTTCTGGTACATAGAATTTTTGAGGTTATTGAACTTCTAATATTTGTTAACAGCATTGTGGGTTACATTTTGAGGGGAATATGGATGTCATTTGAAATAACTGTACAAGAGTATTCATCATGTATTTGTGATCACTTTATAATAATCTGTAGAAAAATACTATTTGTAGTGCCAGACCACTGTTAGGAAATTAAAATTATGCTAAAGATAGGGAATAAATGTTATTTATCAGATTGAATTTCCATATTCATGTATAGCCTCACAAAGATCCAATCAGAGGATTGCATTTGCATCTGGACTTCTAATATCATTTGAAACTCCCTATTAACAAATGTACATTTGTGTTCATTATAAGACTTCTTAATAAAGCATGCTAATTACTTCCCTGCGCTCTGGCTCCCATCCACAATGAATTGTATTATAAAAGCAAATCACTTCAAACTTCAAACAGCATGCATCCTTGAGATGCTACTATTAAAGGAGAACAGTGATGGGAAAGCTTTGATGTTATCAGATGGAAAATACACATTCGTATTTGAGTAAATCCTGTAGACTGAAGCATTTCCCCCCACACTTAAGTAACCTGAAATCAATTTCAGGTTCCCAAATGCTCTTCAAAGCAGCGCACCTTGGAAGTAATGCTGATGGCATTTCAAATTTCAAGGCAGCTTGCTTTTTCCATCTCAAGATTTCAAGCAGATTCGAAATTCAAAGAGGAAGGATTTTATCTACTTTTACCCAAACCACTAGCTTCTGGTTTGATGAGCAAAATGTTTTAAGTAATAAAATCACCTACTGTAATGAAAAAAATGGTATGTAGCTAAGGAACTCAGAGTTTGAATAATGCTGCTGATTCTGGAGAATTCTAAGCTGTAGGTATATTGAAACTTCATACTTCCATTCTTTCTTGTTCTAGAGTTGTTGACCCAAAGTTGGAATGTACACCTTGGGCATGTGGCAGGACAACTGTACACAACTGTAGTTAGTCTCTCTCCTCCTGAATAAGGCATCTGTGAAGCTGAAGACAAAAATCGGTGTGTGCTTGACTCCTGGACCCAGAGGGAGCCAGCGCCAAGCAATTCAGAACATTCATACTATGAATAATCCCTATAGCAGGAGGCTCAGTCTGTGGCTTCTTAAAAGGCTTCAGATTTATGGTCAGTAGAAACATCCACGCGCCTATTTGGCCTGAAGGATACAGGGGCCCTAGTGAAGTTCCCCTTGTATTTAATTAGGTTTCCTGTAATTGCTTTAAATAAAAGGGGATGGGACAGGGCAGAGTGTAGGACCTTAAGTTATCATCTTGGGACACAAAATATTTGTGTGTGGTTTGAATACCTTGAGACCATTTGCTGCTGCTCTGCATTTTGTAAAGGGCCATTATTCTGAGGAAACACACACTGCAGGTTTATCAGCCCTTTGGTGACTGTAAATTTGCTGCAACATCCTTGAAAGGAAGAGTTTTGTTTCCAGGAACTGAATTTCTGCATTAAGAGAGAAGAAATAAACAAGTAAAACAGCCAAAAATATTAAACACCAGAGAGTGAAATAAAAAGAAATATGGTGGGGGAGGGGAGGGACAACCCTGCTCCATCTTTGCATGTGTCTCTTTCAGCCCCAGGCAAATTCTCTATGGTTTCATTGTGACCAAAGAAATGACAGTAAAACATTCTTGGGGTGAAAGGGTTATAGCCAAATTTATTTCCACAGTGGCAGGTCAATCACTAAAATCCTGTTTACTCAGAGCCAGTCTGCATGCAGCAAGCTAGTCTCTGCTTCTGGGTCTCTCTACCCGCAGCCTCTGTCCTTGATGCTGCCACCACTCCAGCCTCTGCTCTGCTCACCTGCAGCCTTACAGCTGTGCCACCTTGTTGCCCAGAGCACTGGCCAGAGGTCTTTATATAGAGTCAATAATGATGCATTGCCCACACATGTATAGTGAGCTAGCCAACCAAGGCCAGGTGAGAATTCTGGTCACACGAACCTTCACTTTATCCACAGCATGGATTTCTCGATATCAGAAAAATGGTAATAATTATCATAAAACAGGAAAATGACAGTCCTAAATAGGGAACAGGAAAGAGGAAGGAAAGTAGCTTTATTTGTTAATAAGTTGGGATTTTTGCTGCAGAGATTGTTAGTTGGACATTTGTTAAAATAATAAACTAATCTTTTAATAGAAGAGTGAAAGTTTGGAGATATGCCAGTTTTTTGAAAATTCTTTTAAACTGATCTCTACATAAACATAAAAGGATTATTAGTTTTCAAACCTTTAAAATAATTTTAATACTTGGAGTTGCCCCTTCAGGAACTTTCCCTGGGCCGCCTTCCAGCACAACGACTCTTGAGTGGACCTAAGGACTTAGTCATTTCTATGACTCAGGCTTCTTATTTGGTGAGTCTGGAGTGAGGCCCAATAATTTGCATTTCCTACAAGTTCCAGGTGATGCTGATGAAGCTGTTCTGGGGGCCATACTTTGAGATGCCACTGGTCTCCAGAACTGTATATAAACTCATCTCTTTCTTGTCTCTAGCTTCCTCTCATGCCACTGCTCTCTGTGCCTGGTGCTCAGTTCTCTTAGATTCCCAGCTCTCTTCATTCTCCTTCCTGCTTTTTCCCATATGTACTGTCCTCCCCCCATATAATTTAACCAGCCAAACGCATGGCAGATTCTTCATACAAAGTTGGGACCCATTATTACTCACTCTCATTGTCCCTATACCTCTCTTTTGCAGCACTGAACACAATTGTATTTAAATAATAAATTGTATAATCCGTATTTATTATGTGCCCTCCTCCCAATAACTTCCTTGCAATGTCACTTTTATTCATCAGTTTCCCAAGTGCCTAGTGCAATATCTTTTGCATAATTGATATTTAATAAATACCTGTTCAGCAATAAATGATGAATAAATAAACAGTGCAAAGAATACTTTAATCTTTCTTACTGTGCTTTCTTGACCCAGAGAAAATTCTCCTACTCCCTAAGGCACCCCTGCTAGTTCTCTCACTAGACACTTCATTTTGGAACTGTGTGCAGGAGAATTGGCAGTTGTCCACATATACTGTTCAGATGATCCTTCTTGCTCGGTGCAAAGAGGCACTTTGCAGAACAGATCTCAGAAATAGGCTCTGATACCTCAATGATAACCCCAGCTATGTCTTGCGAATGGGTTTCAACTCCCGGCAAGTTCACTGTGGATTCAGTGTGACCAAAGAAAATGACAGTAAGACATTCTTGGGCTGAAAGGGTTATACCCAACTTTATTCCCACAGTGGCAGGTCAATCACTAAAATCCCATTCACTCATAACGAGTCTGCATGCAGCAAGCCAGTCTCCGCCTCGGCACTGCCACCACTCCAGCCTCCTGCTCTGCTCTCCTACATCCTTGCATCCTGCCACATGTCGCCCAGAGCACTGGGCAGAGCTCCTTATATAGAGTCAATAGCTATGTATTGCTCACACGTGTACAGTGAGCTAGCCAACCAGGGCCAGGTGAGAATCCTGGCCACAGAAACTCTCATTTTATTCACACCAGATCCCCAGGTCAATTTTTGTTATTCAGGGTTACATAATGCTTTGAAGTAAATTCACATAAATTATTTGAGCATTTTAGCTAGAGGCCACTTTAACAAGATTTTAGTTACAATTATAAAGAAGCATTTGGGATTTCAAAATACTTTGCATGAAAGTGTCTTACCAATGGGTTTCAGTCCCTGGCAAGTTCGCTATGGATTCAATGCGACCAAATAAATTGACAGCAAAATGTTCTTGGGGTGAAAGGGTTATACCCAACTTTATTTTCACAGTGGCAGGTCAGTCACTAGAATCCCATTCACTCAGAGCAAGTCTGCTTGCAGCAAGCTGGTCTCTGCCTCTGGGTCCCTCTGCCCACAGAGCCATCCTCTGGGCCCCTCTGTCTGCACAGTCATCCTGCAGAGCCATCCTCTGGGCCTCTGTCCTCAGTGCTGCCACCACTCCAGCCTCTGCTCTGCTTTCCTGCAGCCTTGCAGCCCTGCCACCCTGTGGTGCACAGAGCACTGGACGGAGCTCTTCATATAGAGTCAACAGCCATGTATTGCCCACAGGTGTGCAGTGACCTAGTCAACCAGGGCCAGGTGAAAATCCTGGCCACAGGAACTCTCATTTTATCCACAGAAAGCTTTAAAGTCATACTGGGTAGAATAGCAAGGATTTCTTAACTAAGACTAGCATGTCTTTCAAGTAAAACAATGTGCCTTAGTAACTGAAACCCAATTGTTAAAATAAGTTTTAAATAATCACTACATATTTATAAAGCAGTAGATCATAGTATATTAAAGCCTGATACATGTATTTGTGATTTACATCTTTGGTTATAGTTTTAGGTTGTTCTTTCTTTATAGTTACTGTAAAGCTATGTAAAGAGTGGTAAAGCTGTATACAGCTATACAGTCCTAGATAATACTATAATAAAACACACACACATAAATATATATATATATATATATATAAACCAGTATATATTTATGATTTATTTATTTACATTTATAGTGTTAGTTCATTCCTTCTCATTTCATGTGAAGACTTTGGAAGGTTAGGTATCATAAAGCTGTGTATGACACATTGGTATCTTACCCATAACCTATATAATTGAGGTAGAATCCTTAGAAGATGTGAAATTCAGGTTCATGTTTCAAAATAGTCAAGCCACATGGGGGAAGGTGTAATTTTGTGGACTGATAGATCTACTCTACTTTCATCTTCTGATGAATCGAGATTTGAAACAGTAAATAAGAGAATGAAAAAGTTGGAAGTCTAGTAGCTGGAGCCTGAGGAAAATCAGAGGAGATGAGAGACAATATCTGGCATGTTATCTATGGCATCAAGAAGGATCACTGGGGGAAAATTATGGTATGATGTTTCTTATTTCATCAGTACAAGTCTTGTCCTGAATTAAATCTTCCTTTCTTTTGCCAGGTCTTATTGTCCGGGAAGTAAGCATTGAAATTTCACGCCAACAAGTGGAAGAACTCTTTGGGCCTGAAGATTACTGGTGCCAGTGTGTGGCCTGGAGCTCAGCAGGCACCACAAAGAGCAGGAAGGCCTACGTGCGCATTGCATGTGAGTCATTGCACACCGATACTGTGTGTTTCAGAAACTGATGGAATATGAGAGAATTTTAGACCATAACTGCTCTAACATAAAAGAACCCCATTCAAAACTGCCCCCAGACTTCTGCATTTGAGCTGCACTTTCTCCTTAAATCATCAGAATATCATTTTATTTTTTGTTTCAGGACCCTGAGTTTTCCTTTAGCAATGTGAAAGAATTAGTGCCACCTTCTAATGTTTCTATATTTTCTTTTTAAATCTGGTAGTAATTAGGCTATGGGAAAACCAACTATATTCCTTTAATGAAATTAATCTGACAATGTGTTAGGACAATGTTGACAAGTTTTGCTACTGGAAATAGAAATTACTCATACAAACTTTATTTTGAAACCATTCTAGTGCATCAGAATTTACCACATTTTTCCCAACTGTGTTAATTTCTAGAATATTCATGTCGAGGGAGAGGTTAAAATGTGCCTCACAAAAAAGGATTCCATAACCAAATAAATGTGGGAATACTTTTTATTGGATAAAGTTAAAGAGGTTTCTTCATTGCAAAACTTTTAAGATTCTTTAATATGCTTTTTTTTTTGCATATTATCCCTAAAAATATGTAGTCTGAATCTCTTACTGCAGACTTCTTTTCTCAGTGAGCACTATTCACATCTTGAGCATTATGAATGCTGCTTTAATCTGTCTTGAGATTCCATATTATGAAATTTTCTCAAGTATGAGGCTGCTGAAATCCATGTAAATGTTATCATCTGAACTCCTTTGCATGTCTGCATTTTACTAAATTCCATTTTGTGGTGGATGTCAAAGTCACTAGCCCCCAATGTGTCACTAAGCCCCAACAATCTGGGCTCTAATGCTTCTCTCAGTTCTATACTCACCTCTTCTCTTCCTGTATTTGATTTAGATTGCAACCACTGCAAACACTTCCCAGTTAGACTCTGGCTCAAGTCTTTTCCCTGTCCCAGTCCTTCCTCCATATTACCACAAATGCAATCATTCTAAAACCCAGGTCCTGCCTCAGCTCACTGCTATCTCTGCTTAAAATTTTAGAGTGGCCTGTGAGATAAGATCAGCATTTCTTACAATGGCATATACCATTGTTTGAGTTTGCTAGAGCTCCCATAACAAAATACCATGGACTGGGTGGCTTAAACAACAGTTGTTTATTTTCTCAAAGTTCTGGAGACTAGAAATCTGAGATCAAGGTGCCGGCAGTATTGGCTTCTTCTGAAGTCTCTCTCTGGGGTGTACAGATGGTCGTCTTCTCTGTGTCTTCCCATGGTTTCCTCTCTGCAACTGTCCAGGTCCAGACTTCTCATAATACCAATCATTGGATTAAGACCACCCTAACAGCCTCATCTTAACTTGATTAACCTTTTTAGTGGACCTGTCTCCCAATAAATTCATGTTTTGAGGTACTGGGGGTTAGGACTTCAATGTGTGAATTTTAGGGGAATGCAGTTCAGCCCAAAACAGCCAGCCATATGTCCTGGCTTATATATCCAGCCTGTGTTTCCAGCTCTGAGCACAAAGAATTTCTCTAGTCACACTAGATGAGAAATACTTTGAATTTTATGCTTTCCAGCTACTGTTCATATTAAAGGGCTTCACCCTTCTCTGAATTCCATTAATTATTTGTAAAAATTCATTTATTCAACCAATATTTGGTACATATTTACTCTGTTCTTGGGACATTTGTAAGTATTGGGTATGGAGCCAGAAACAAAACATGTAAAGATCCCTCCCCCCATGGACCTATGGGCAGGTGGGCAAGAGCAAACTGTAAGTAAAATAAATAATAATCAGTAATAGAGCAAATGATATGCACTATGAAGAAAAGTAAAGCAGAAAAAGGGGATATGTTGTGCTGGGAGAGGGCTGTAACTGAACAAGGGTCTGCTCCCCCATGTACACTTAAGCCAAACATAGGACACATGCTTTCACAAAAGGAAAAAGCTTTATTGCAGGAGGCTAGCTCAAATCTCTCCCTGCTCATCAACAAGCAAGGCTAATTTTTAAGGGATCCTGGTGAAGTGGGATTGGTTGAGAGTTGGGAAATTCCTACTGAGGTTTCTCCATCCCATAGTGATTTTCATTAGATAATTAGTTGTTTGCTGATTAGAGACATGTTTTCTGGTATTGATTGCAGAAAGGTCAGTGGTAGGGCAAACGAATCTATCCTGCGCTTGCTCTAGATGGCTCCACTGCTTTCACTTGATCTAGCAGGTTTCTGGGGAGGGTCTGACAGGGGCTTGGAGGCATCTAGTCATTCTCTGGAAAATAAGAGTCACCTGTTACTGTTCTCTGCAAGGCCTGGTTGCAGAGCGGTCAGGTGAATGCCTGTGCAGGAGGTTGATGGTTGGAGAAACCTGAAGGAGGGGAGGGAGGAATTCAGGCAGAACAAATAGCAAGTGGCACCAGCATCAGTGCCCTGAGCAGCAGTGTGCTGGCAGGCTCCAGGAAGACCACATCAGCCATAGTGCCTAGAAGAGCGTGAGTGAGAGGAGGCTGCTGGCTGAGCCGAGAAAGGTGAGGCCTGAAGTAGAGGACGGGAGGGCGCAGCATGGGGACGGACTGGCAACCTGTAGGTGCACATCTCTGGTTCTTAGTATGAGATGAGAACTTTGGAATCAGCAGAGGAATTCATGATCTGACTTCCAGTTTAGCAGAATCACCATACTTTTGTGTTGAGAACAGATCATGAGGGGCAAGTATAGAAGCAGAAAGACCAGTTCTGGGTTGGGGCTCTGAGAGACACTCAGCTTGCACTGATCAGAAGCAGTAGAGGTGAGACCTGGATTCTATCTATATTTAAAGGCAGAGGTATAGTTTTTCCTGTGAGATGGGATGTGAGAGAAAGAATGAATTAGAAGGCCTGAGCCTTTTGCAGGATTTCTTTCAAATGTCCTTAAGGAAGTCGTTCCTACCTCAGGAGTCTCTGGAGGGATAGGTCTTCCTTTCTCAATACTTCCAAAGCAGTTTGTCCAAACTCTGACTACAGGGCTTATCCCATATGAATTATAGTCACTTGTAAAGTCTGTTTCATGCCAGTGAGTTCCTTGAGATTAGTTTTGCTTAATTGGATTTTTCTTTATATCTTTAATGCTCAGCACAATGCTTAGAACATCATAGATGTTAATAAGTTTTGTTGAATTAAAACCATTAAGAAGAATTCCCGGTGAAGTTTATTAAAATGCTCTATATTAATCTTCCTCTCTGAATATGCCTAAAGAGATTTTCTTTGTCTTATGTGGGTTCTCCATGGAATAGACTCTGAGATGGAGACATGGTGCCCACAATGTATTAAAGTGTGATGTACGAACAGTGACAAGGAATGAAGGCTGTAGGATTGGGCAAAGGGAGAAATTGAGCTTCAGTGTCGGGACAACAAAGGATGATGCTACAAGGAGCTCTAGAGCTTGGATGGCACTTTAGATTTGTCCCACCTTGAGACATAGCAGGTAAGTGGCCTTTTTTCCCCACATAGGTAGTCAGTGGATGGGACTAATACTTCACCTCAAGCCTTTGCCAGCTTGTGTGACCTGGCTCAAGCCAGTTCTCCCCAAGTAAGGGCAATTCCAGGAAAGGCAGAGAATCTTCACCATCAATGTTGCCAACAGGTGGGATCAGTCCTGGAGAGAGATTTCAGCGGCATTTGCCATTATATGACTACACCAGTCTACCACAAATCTTGAAGAATTTATTTTATTATTTATGAAGAGAAAAAAGAGACTTTCAAACATTTTAAGAACAACTACTTGTTTTAGTCAAATATTGCAATGAATTTAATGTTCACTTCTAATTATAATCAAAAGAGGTACAGTGATATAAAACTATCTTTTTCATCATTATGTGTTCATTAATATCAAATACAATAAATATTTAAAATAGCCAATCCACACTCCATATTAACTGGTTTTCCTAAAAGCTTAAGTTTAAGGGTTGCATAGTTCCAAATGATGAAATTGCATAGTTCCAATTTCATGTGTATATATATGTATATAAGTATATATGATATATAATAGTATATATATTCTTTCTATATCCTTGTTCTTCACATAAAAATTAAATATATATCAGAACCCATCTTTCTTTGCAACATATTACATCAACTTTGCTATTTATTTCACTGGTTTTAAAGGTAGTTTGAAATTTTCAAATAGTAAGAAAATGAACTCGGGTAAGCAATTTGCCTAAAACACCTCCCCATCTTCATGCAATAAGACTGAAGAGCAGTTTGCTTATATTTCTGTAATTAACTGAACTCAGATGTGATTGGCCGAGGACAGTTATACAGTGTGTAAAGAATTATATATACAGATTGTAAGTCCAGGGAGAGGAAATCCCAGGGCAAAATATCTCTAAAAATTGAAATCAGTCAAAGGGAGAAATAAAGTTTAAAACCTTTATTTCTAAAACAAACTGTAGTCTGGGGCCTTCTCTCTTTCCTGCTCCAGCAGAAGCAAAACTGACCCTCCCCTCACCTCTCAGGTACAGATAAGCCCTCCATTGCCCAGGTAATTACCCATTGACATGGAGATGAACTTCTCTCCACGCCTGAGGAATGTTGCAAATGCACCAAAGCTGTACTGCTTTCCACCTCTGAATGCCTATTGATATTCAGATGTACTAAAGCGAGGCAAGATATTCTTGAAATATTACAGTTTCACCCACACAGATTTACATCATGATGGGGAAAAGAGGCTAAATTTCAGATTTTCTCTGTCCAGGCTCACCCCTACCAAGCACATTCTTGTTAATGTTGTAGGAAGCTTGAGGGTTTTCTAGTTCATCCTGTTTCAAGTGAGCTGTGGTGCTTTGCCTGGTAATACTTGACAGATGACCATTACATAAACTGCAGTTAAAGTTTAAATTTGTCCCAAGTAGAGATAATCATCAGGCTAAGGTTAAATAAGTGCAATTACCCCTCACCTAATTAGATTTCTACTCATATGTGTCCTGCGGAGGGGCCTGTTCTGTCATGAAAAGCTCTAT